AAAAAAAAAAAAAAAGAATAGTGGTGGGTAGTAGAAAGTTAGAATTTGATGCGGTAAATCTTTCATCTCTTTGATTTGAACATTGCAAAAAGTTAGGCCTCTGCAAATCATGATTCTTATTCATAACACACTGCTAAGTGCTATGACAACACCCAGGTGAGTAAAACATTACAGATGACTTAGGAGGGAATTGATTGAATAATCTGTACAACCCATTTTTGGAGGCAGAGATTAAACAGAAACAAACATCACCCACCATATCTCTCCTCTCCTTCTCCTTTAACGACAACCTTCCTTCGTGACTCAAACTGATCACTACTTGTCTTCATTTTCTGGTCATGATCTGATTTCTCTTTGGTCGGCCTCGATTTTGTGCTTTCAGATCTCCTCAACTTTTCATCTGGTCCTGGGCGGCTCAGGCTTAGATTCTCGCCAGTGGCTGTGGCTGGCCTCTGTTTTGGTTTTGGCCTCGAGAGTAGTACCTCCTCCGTGGCTGCTGCTGCTACTCGGCTACTTGTCTTGGAGCCTTTGTCTTGGTCGAAGAACAGGACTTGTACCACAGTTCTCAGTGGCAGCCGCTCGTTCTTCACTGCGTGGGCACGTACCTCCGGCGACAGTTTCTGGCAGTTTAGTACCCGACATAGCCGCTTTTTCTCGGCCTTGCTTACATCTGGATGCTCCTGCTCTCACCGTCCCAATCCAACCCACCAGCATTAGACAGAATCATAAAAGTTCAGATACCAAACTTGTAAGTTGTAATTCTAAATGGACGCCAAACCAGTTGAGAGCAACAATTGTCCTCTCTTTGAAGACGTACAATGAATGGTATGTGTTACCTTGAGAAAAATGTTGATTGCCTTGTACATATCATCATGATTTGGGCGGGCAACATCAGGCAAAGCTTCAGCAAGACAAACCATCTTGGCCACAGGCATGTTCCGATCTCTAGCCACCACCTGGAGATAAGAGTCAATGAGCTTCCCAACTTTCCTAACAGACGCCAACAGCTGCCCATTATTCTCCACAGGCGACTGCCTTCTCCACACCATCAAGAAACTCTCCAAAACAGCCACAACCAAATCAACATCCTGCAAATTATGCTCATCAGGATGCTGCTGCGAAGAGAATATCAAGTCCCCCACTGTGGCCTCCTCCAACACCAGGCTGCATCTCCTTATAACCTCTGTCTTGCAGACTGCAGATGCCCCCAAGAGATTCCCCAGCCGGAGGAGCCTCAGAGAGAAGCTGACAGACACCGATTCACGATCCGGGGGGATCAGGCTGATTATCGTTTCGACGATCTGGCGATTCTTAGCCTCTATATTGGTGGTGGTGGTGTCTGAAGATGCCTCTTCTGGTTGTTTCGGAGCGGCGATTTTGGCATCGGGTAGCCAACGGGAGGCGTAGACATGGAGGGCTTCGCCAATGAGCGGCGGCGGGAGGATGCAAGTGGAGGAAATCGCCACGATTACGCAGCGGAAGAGATCGATGTCAAGATCAGCAATGTCCTCTGTCCACCAATCTTTGGGAACAGAGCGGTGTGTTTTCTTGTTGTAGCCTGGTCTGGTGTAGGTGTAGGACCAACTCACCTACAACAAAGACAGACTCTGTGAACAACACCAGAAGAAAAAGAGAGAGAAAGAGAAGCAGAAGCAGAAGCAATGGAATAAAACCTTAGAAGGTGGGGTGAGGATTTTGTGGACGACAGAATCAATGCATTTGGTGGTGATGCCAAGATTGTGGGACCATTCGGAGAGGGCAGCAGCAGCAGCAGCAGCAGAAGAAGAGGAACGAAGCGTGGCAATGGAGTCCTTCCAGCCGGCGAGGATGCAGGAAAGAAAGAAAGCTTCGAGCTTGGAGATGAAGTTGGCTCTGTGAAGGGATTCGGTCATGCGGAGGAAGTTGGCAGCGGAGAAGGCAGACACGAAGTTGTGGGCACTCAGATTAATGGTGATTCCGTAGCAGAATTTGGCGCACAGCTCGAAAGCGTCTTCTCCGCCAGGAATGTCGTGGAGTTCAATTGTGATTACTGTGTCGCCGTCGCCGTCGCCGTCGCCGCCGCTGTGGTTGGAGCAAAGGCGCTGTAAGAGGCCGCATTTCGCCACCACAGGGAACTGCAGCTACCAAAATCATTTTGACTATTATAAAAAAATACTTCCGTTTTGAAATAGTAACGGGGATAGCATCTTGGGTTTGACGAGAGAAATATTTTTTACAAATAGATATCTATTTTATTTTTAATTTTATGTTTTTAAAAATGATGTTCGTCTCCTCAGTCCTCATTGACTATGTTTTTGTTTTTTTACTTTTCTTTAAAAACAAGTTTAAATATTTAGCCACATTTTAAAAATAAGAAAGTTTTTAAAAACTTTTTTTTCCTTCAAAAATTGGCTTAGCTTTGAAAACAATTTTTAGAGAGTAAATGGCAAAACCAAGATGGTTGGCCCCCTATTTTCAACCATTACAGCTTGCGTCGACCAGCTTTGCGATACGGACGAACACAAAAGAACGCAGGCAGCGGAAATGTAAAAGAGAAGAGCAAAAACAAGGGACCTACTTCTCATCCTAGGAGTTAGCCGGTATGAAAGAGTCCCCTCTCTATCTCTCCGAGTTTCGACTACTAAGTAGCACTTCAGTCCGCTTGGGTAGGAGCATCTGGTTGATCGCCCAACAAAATAGTTGTTTAGCGAATGACTCAACCTATGCATCCGGTATTTACACACTCTACTTCGAGGTGTAAATCACCGGATATGGTATGGGGGAAGGGAAGTGAGATCTACAGATTGATTTGATATTTGATGAGCGGCCCCTTTTTCTTCTCTCTCCTTTCCCTCATCTCCCGGGTCCTCAACCGAATTTGCTCCATTTTGCTCAGTTGGGGGAGCGGAGGTATTTACAAACTTAATTTTAAAAAATAGAAAATAAAAAATAAAATGATTATATTAAATAACCTTAAATATTTCTAGTACTATTTATTAGGGCATATTGTTGCTTCTACCATGCTAAAATCACTCTCATTTTTAAATGATAATCTTAGACAGTGGTATATGTGTGGTGTGAGCGATTTTAGAAAATTGAAAAGTGATTTTAGACAAAATCGTTCCTAAGCAGGGTATGTTTAGGAGTGATTTTGGTATGACCAAAATCACTTTTGTCATTGTCAAAATCACCTCCCGTTCTATGGATCATGTTTGAAAAATTAAAAAATTGAAATTGATTTGTAAGGTATCTCTTGTATGGACACGCGAGTGATGGTAAAATTAGTGATTTTGAAAAAAGAGATTTAAGTATAATTGATTTTCCAAAATCAAAGTGATACCATAAAAATCAATTTTAAGTGATTTTAAACTTTCCTAAAATCAATTTTCTAATTTCCCAATCATGATCAATGGAAAGGAAAGTAATTTTGACAATTACAAAAATGATTTTTGCCTCTTAAACACATCAATCTTTTTTTTTCAAAATTACTAATCCTAACATCATCAGTTCCAAACACATCCTAGCCTTAGGATGTGTTTGAGAGTGATTTTGAAAAAAGAGATTTAAGAATAATTGGTTTTCCAAAATTACCATTCAAGTGATACCTTAAAAATAAATTTTAAGTGATTTTATATTTTCCTAAAATAAATTTTTTAAATTTACCAAACATATCAATGAAAATGGGAGTGATTTTGACACTGGCGAAAGTGACAAAATTCATTCCCAAACACAACTTTAATGCTGTTAATTTCAAAATCTCTTTTAATTATCTAATAAACAGTACAAAATATTTTGAAAGCCATCTCAAATTCATTCTAAATCTTTTAATGCAAAGAACACATGCAAATAAGAATAGTAGAAGAGAATCACACAGTTACTCAAGAAAATCAACACACATATCAATTGATCGAACCTTGTGAATGAGGTAAGTAATATTGTTTATTCTGATAACAAGGTCACTGGGTACATCTGAAATGACAGTCCTGCAATGAGAGTAATTTTTATTTTGAGCATAAAGAAGAAAAGCAAACGTATGGGGTAAAAAATTCCTCATATAACTATGTAGTTTTACCTGGTAGCTTCTTCTGTGTAGAAGATGTCTGGCCTTGTCCCTAATTTCATAAACTTCATGGCTGTAAAAACTAGCTGAAAATAATGACAGCTTCCCAGCTACAGACCTTCCATAGAAATACAAAATAGTTTTCTCAGTTATTGAAATGGAAAGCCTCGAAAGCCCCCTTCAAATTGTACACTTATTCGATGATTAATGAAAGAGAGCTTCAAAATTAAAGTAAATTAACTGCATTGCATGAATATATATATATATATATATATAGTGCCATATCATGAAAATTGAAGGAGATCATAATTAAGAACATGAAACTCTCAAAAGGGTATATGATTTCATAAGTTGGATTCATGTATTCTTTGATAAGAAACTTAATTAAAAGTCTAATTTGGTATATATATTTGTTTATCCCAAACTACTCCATGTGTTAATCTAACAAGAGGCAAATTTCTAAATTTTCTACATAGTTTATGCCTAAAATTCTGGAATGAAATTAAATTATATAACATTCCAAGGGCCGAAAACAAATTCTTCTTTTATACTATAAATTCTCCAAATTGATGTGATATTATTTACTTTTAGCCGAAGGTTACATAAATTTTATATTTTATCATCATATTTCCTAACAAATATTGAATTTATGTCACACCCATGGAGAATATTTCCTAACAAGTGTATAGTTCTAGAAATAAATATATTGGGAAAAGCACTGCTTTCCATTATTGTACTATCTCTTTGCATGCATATACTTTTCATTTTTCATTAATCAAATCATATGATTAAATATTTCATGTGTGTGAGAGGAGCATATATACCAACCCATAGCAAACAAAAATCGGGAAAATAAAAAGGATAAGATGGGAATTAAGATTCTGTCACCTGAACACTAAACATTAAGAAAAAAAGTAGTGATGATTATTGAAAAAATGAGAAGAATGTTCTTCCTAGAGAGAGTCAGAAAGGGGAGAGAGAGAGAGAGAGAGAGAGAATTTAAGTAGATAGGTAGGAAAGTAGGCATGGAAGTGCGGTCTGTGCAATGACAAGCAAATGGGGTAAAGAGAAGACACACTGAAAAAAAAAGGCTATATATTGTGTGGCCACAAACACCTATTATTTGTCATCACACAGAGTGATAAAAGCCTCTTTGGGGTTCTTCTTCCTTCTTCAATTATTTCCCACTTTTTTCTCAAAGTAAACTATAAAGCTTTATCAATTGAATCATACCCAAACAAGGGAAAATTAATGCAAAGTAAAACCCATATAGCTTATGTCAGACCGGCATTCTCAAAGTTTTGGTAAATTTGGAAAACTTTTCTGCTAATCATGTGTTAATTAATTAATTAATTAAGAATACCCTGCCATAAGGGCGGTATGTTTAAGAAACCAATGGTTTAATTTGTTAGTTAGAACTGAAACTAAAAACAGTTGGAAAAAGTGAAGGTATATATGGAAGTACCGTGGGAAGAGAAGTGGGTTGAAAGCTGTCTTGATCTCTAGACAGAAAGCTTTAGATGAAGGCTTGTGATTTGGAAAAGGCTGCAAATTCCATCCATAGTTGAGAGAGCAATTAGTGCAGGCTGCAGCAGGTTCTGGAACACAGCAATCAAATCAATAATAAAAAAAAGAAACTGATCAACCAGAGACACAAAAGTGAAGGTAGATATGAGGAAGAATTAGTAGCAGTTTGTAAGAGGTGCAACGCTGTTCATGCAATATATATATATATATATATATATATATAACGGAAGAGATGGAAAATAAGTGCATACAATTTGTGGGTTGCAGTTTCAAAATCATCAACCAAAGGGAAATATTAATGAATTGAACCCAGAGAGAGAGAGAGAGGGAGGGAGGGAGGGAGAGAGAGAGTGGTTGGTTGGGATTAGTCAACATGGCAATGCATCAAAACCACGTACGTTATGATAAGCCGCTTGAATAGAAAGAAAAGGAAAGAGAGAGAAAGGGCAACAGGAGGAGCAGTGTGTTCCCATATTTATATAGAAAATACTTTTCCTACATTGGAGAGAGAAATGTAGATAGAGAAAATATAGATTTCTTTTTAAATAAATAGCTGACTGATAGTTACAAGGAGAGTCTTATTTTGTTTTTTTTTTTAGATATTCACGAGTGTACGGGCCAGTTTATCTTAGGAGCAGTTGTCTGATCCTACAACACGAAAAACACATAAGAATTAATTCTTAAAGTAGGTGATCACGAAGAAAATATTATTTTATTATGTTTATACGGGAACAAGACTCCTCCAACAAGAAATTTCTACTTTACATCACTTTCTTTTTTATAAGTAGAAGAGGGGAGACCTCTCAAAAAAGAATACTTCTAAAAATTTATATATATTTAGTGGTAACTTATAAAATAAATAAAAGGTCGTGTGTGTTGGGGAATAATGGTATGATGAGTGATTTTTAAAAAATAGATTTAAATATAATTGATTTTTCAAAATCATTATCTAAGAGACGCCTTGAACATAAATTTAAAGTGATTTTAAATTTTTCTAAAATCACTTTTTTAATTTGTCAAACATGATCAACAGAAAGCAAAGCGATTTTGACAATAACAAAATTGATTCTATCATGCCCGAAATCACTTCTAGGCAGAATGTTAGTGGTGGTAAGTGGTGAGTAGCAAGAAGAAGGCTGGAGCACAGTTGTTTATATGGATATTCTTTTTCTGAGCTGACTGTGTTTGTTTCTCTCTCTAGCCACCTAGGGATGGAGAGGAAGAAAGAGAAAACTGATGGGGAAATGGAGGTGTATGATTGAATTCACAAAAGGCATGCAAAGGCCAAGTGGGCAAATGAAGACTTTTTGGACAGTGCACCAATTAAGTGAAAAAACGAAGATAGATCCCCACAACTGTGCCTTTCTTCATCATGGTTTCCCCCACTAATCCAGTTACATTCTTCTTCTATATATTCTCTTCTCTTCTTCTCTCCTCTCGCATTCCTTTGCTTAATCTCTCTGTCGGCCACGTGTCTCGTCCTCTGCCGTTTGTTGCCATCAACCTGATGCGACTGTTTTACCCCATTTTTGTTTTCTAGCCTTCCAACGCCATGCCTAGACAAACCATCTTTTCTTCAACTTTCTTTCATGCGTGTCCTTTGTTTCCTTGGGTTGTTTAACAAATCAAACTAGCACCTATTTATGGGCAACTACAAATTTTGATCTACCCCTCACAGATTTGGTTTTTGGTGAGTTGAATCCATGTAATTACGCCCAAATTTCAGGCCAAATTGGTGTGAGAGTGAGATGTTTTCTTTTTCAAGTGAAATCCCCCTAGCATATAGAAGAGAGGATAAGTGCTTTCAGTGGTGTGGAATGATCTTTGTATCCTTTAATGCATGTATCTAATTCAGAACGATTACAACAAATTCCATTTTTAGAAGAATCTGAGGTGAAGCAATAATAAGAATATTTTGAGTGGATGCTCTAAATTTACTAACAAAGAATTAAGTTGACTCCATACATTTTATAGCGATCGTGTAGTCATTTTTCATGTTACTGTTATCATTCTCCTACTCCTACACGTAATTTTGTAAAACGGGAACAAATATATTACTCAGCACAAAGTTTGAGATCAACATAAACCTATTAAAATATAATTTCATTTACGAAAAAGTTGGTCAATAGTCTTTCTCTCTCTCTCTAATTCTTAGTATCTATTCGAAATTTCGAATTACCTGTGTTTGTTCTTCATGCGTTCCATCTTTCACGCATGGCCTTCCCACGTGTGTCCTGCCTGCTAACTTGCCGTCTGCTCCTAGCCGCCCCAGCATGCTGCGTTGGTATTGCAAGTAATTAACCACGTAAAATGTAAATGAGAATAAATGGACCCACACCCATCGTTTCAATCCCTTCACATTCTATCATCGTCCAATCAAGATCAGCCATCATGACTGGCAGGCCCTGATGATGGTCATGATGAGGATCACGGTCGTAACATGATCATGATGATCATTATCATCATCAACAGTCATCTTCCATTCCATCATTACCCCATATCGAATTTACAGTTTATTAATGAGATATTCTTATCATTGCTCTGTGTCCTCCTAATCTCTCCAACCATAATACTAGTGGTCATTCTTTGAAGACATTTTTTAATATTTAATCAAAAGGTTAAGTCAAAAACACTGAAAAATAAAATATCAAACACATTATATAGTTGTAACTGTAAAAGATTCATGAATCAAATAGAAACCCCACCATGGAGATGGATCTAAATAATTAAGCTCAACTTGGAAGTTGAGCTTTTTGGTACAGAGAGAGAATGGGAGGCAGAGGACATTAGGAAGGTGGGTTAGACAGTTATACAAGAAGCATGATGGAATGGAATTAAACATATACAAAATGGGAATAGTCAAACTTCACTCTGATTATGATGGGATACTACAAAGACTCAAAAAAGCATCCAAAGGAATCGTGTCTATCAGTGGGTGCCACTTGCATACATGTCACTGTTTATCTAAACTTTAACTACATTTTTTCCCTTTGCAAGGACTCTTAATCAGACAACTGCTTGAGAGGAGTGGCTCTCACATTTATGGCTATAAACTTCTACTAATGATATAATCTCGTAAAGCCAAAGAAATGGCGAATTACCTGTTGGCGCAATTTGACTCCAGAAAGTAGCTTTATCAAAACCTCAAACAACTTTTCAAACCATGGTCGAAGAAGCAACTCCGGATCTTCAAATATCTTTTGTATCCTGCAAATCTTGTCATTCTGTATAAAGGCAAATCTGCATATTATTACTAGAAGTTCTTGACCACTCCACGTTTATACTATATATCATTTCCATGTAATGTAAAATATAGGGCAACACTCGCAACAATCCCTTTAATAAGTAGCCAAAAAAATGAAGATCTAACTTTCTTAACTCGATTCTGTATGAGAATCATGGCAAAAAGACACCCTTCGGGAGATGTGCCTTTTTATGATTTCTTTTCAAAGTAATCTTCAACTTAAGAATAACCTCCCTGAATTAATTTTCAAGAATAAGTACACACCATAACTTGCAAATGGTGTTGGAATCTTCTTGCTAGAAATTGATAAACAGTTTTCAGAACCCATTCTCCAAAAAATCCGCCCAAACAGAACCTTACAAAACAATAAATGACAAACTCAATGCAAAGAGAGCATTTATTTTAGCTCAGATTGGGTAAGGGGGATAGGCTTTTCCTTTTTTTAATTTTGGTGGTGGTGGTGGGGGGGTGTTCCTAACCAAAATGAAACTTTAATCATAGAGTTGTGAACCCATCACCGGAAGCCTCAACCACCAACCATACAGGCGACCAGCACCCGCAAGCCTTGATGATGTGCCTGACGAACCATTGCAATAAAAATTATGCAACAGGCCTAATTCTTTCCCTAACAAATTCTTTCCATTTCCTCAAATGCCACAGTATACACTTCCGAAGCCAGAATTGTAAATATTATAATCAGTTTAACATGTGCCCCTTTGCAGGGCGTGCAACTACAAAGGAAAAGTTCCTGATGAACTACACCAAAGTCCCCAGTTACATTTAAAAAAAGAAAAATCCATTCATATCCAGAGAATTGCTGCAGCTTTCAATTCCGACCACGTTGTCATATCAGAAAACTGCACAAACTTCCACAATCATTCTGCTTATTGTGATCAGTTACCAAACAAGTCATCATCACTGTCATTATTAATATTCGTCCTGTTATTTTCTTCATGGTTACCACTTGAAGCTTTACCAATCGAATCATTGGGAGGGGAAGGCGGTTTATTAGCAGTAACAGCAGAAGAGTATGCCCATGACGAACCCACATTTCCTGAAAATGATTCTCCGTAAAGGTCATCATACATTCCACCTTTTGATGGATTTTTTACCCTATTCAAGATTTCTTGTAATTTACCAGTCACGCCTTTTGGAGAAATTCCATCACCCCTCAAAGAAGACTGCTCCTTGCCTCTTGGTATTATGGTAGTCTGCACCAGAGATTCATATTTCCCAACTAAACTTCCTTCTTTAACACCTATTGGACCAGGTTCTGTCCCAACATCTGCACCATCTGAAAAACCCACAACTTCAACCAGCTCCCCTCCAAGTTGATCTCTGAAAGCCACTCTCATCTTCCTAAGCTTTTTGGTAGGTCCTCCACACTGTTGCTGTTCTTCTTTTTCACTTGCTGGGCTACCGTCTTCAGATGATGAAGGTAGGCCAAATTTGCTAAGACCTAGACGATTTAAAAGCGTATTATAAGAAACAACAGCCTCCTCATCAGATGGATCAGGAGGCGGTGGTATATCAACCTCAGTGAGCATTGGGGGACGAGGAAAAAGTGCTGCATCATTCTTTCTCAAGATATAAGTTCTTGTAGATGCAGCAAACCGCAAAGACTGTCCTGCTTCAAGCTCGACCGGGGAATCTTTAGTCAATCGCTCATTAGCCACAAATGTTCCATGAGCAGATCCCAAATCAATTACATATATGCTGCAAAATCAACTAAAGATGATGAATGCCACATGGCCATAAAAAAATATCTTCATGAGTCTTGATATAAAAAGTTCTACGGTACAAAAAAATAATAAAGATAAAAGAACAACAACTACCACATTTTATAAGCAGGTCAAGAATAAACATCCTTATTATATACTAACAATTTTCAAGACATTTAACTGGTAAGCCTATTCTAGCGGCATTGTTTGTATTCTATGGAAGGAAACTAAATGGAGAGGAAGCACGCCAAACAAAACAAAACAAGTAGGAAAGTAATTCAACATGAAATCACAGATCACAAAACCATTGTCAAGGAAAGTTTAAGTGCTTATTTGTGGAGTTACTGGAAAATTGAAATAAGCATAGTCATCAGGTCACCCTATTCACCTTTTGCACTACCGAGTGGATTTTAGGAACAATGAAGTCTCATCTTATTTCTCCACAGTGGAGTATTTCAGATACCCTCAAAAACCTTGCATCTTGAATCTCCTCAGGCTACACCTATTCAATCTGGTTTTCATGATGAGTTTAGGCTACTTCCAATTGCATCTATTCCTCTCTGATAGCCTTAGGTTCTCATTTCTTTGCTTCTAATTTTGTAGTTCATCAGATCTTCAGTCTTATTGATGTAAAAATACTAGCACTACAAATCTCCATTGGTATACAACGAGTTCCTAGCAAGTATTCTGAATCTTGGACCAAGTCCCAATTATGAACTTGTTTTGAAACATTTACATTCGTCCATTGAACCCCCACCCACCCAAAAAGAAAAAGCATTCTATTTATAACCACCTCCACCCTAAGAAACTCACTAGTTATGTCTAATATAACCCTCAAACATATGATTATGTAAATGATAAAAACATCCTATTGTGTCAAGACTATCTACTAATGATTAAAATAATAGAGAAAAGCAACAAATGGAGAAATATTCCATGATCATGAATACAATTTAAATTATAAAATTATAGGTTTAGAAGATTATGACATAAAATAATCAGTCAAGAAACCAAGCATCCAACCTTCCATTCTTATGAGGAATAACGGCAGCATGTTGGCGTGAAACCGACTGGTGATCAAGTACAAAATCGCAAGTATGGAATTGTCTCCCGAAAATGTGCCTCCGCTTGTCCAGATTAATTCGATCTATAACCTCACCATCCTTTAAAACTTCAAGATAATATACTCCGGCACGTGGTTCAATCGCCCAATCAGGAGGCTGCCAAGTGGACTGACTTCCTCCAACCTGAGTTAATTGTTGAGTCTGCCCCACCAATGGTCCTGCCTCAGGCACAGTATGTTTTTGTGAGTCATGGGATTGATGCTGGTTAATAGTTTGAAAGTGAGAAGACCTCGATTGTGAATATGGAACCAGTGGCTGAATGCCTTCTTTACCAGAAGATTGAGCAGAGTTATGTGAAGTAGAATTGACAGTTACAGAGAATGGTTCCAAGGTCTGAGCCTTTTTAAATCTATCGAGGCCAGTTCTTCCATACATTCTCTTACCTCTATCACTTTCAGATCAAAGAGATGCTCTTACGCTGAGGTTGATTACAATTGAAGCACAATGTGACATCAGCATCGAACTTTAAATGGTCACAGACTTAACTGCACATATTTTCACTGAAAGAAGAAAGCAGGAATCATCAACTCTAACGTATAATTATTTCCATTTCTTTAACTTTAGTCAAAGTTATTATCGGATAATGAGATAAGCAGAAACAACAGTAAAACCTTTGCATCACAAAATTCAATACAATTACCAATACTCGCAGATCTAACATAGAAAAACAATGCGAAAATGGAGCTGAGCACAACAGAACATCTTCCAGGAGAACGGGAAAAGTTTAGACTCCAAAATTTCGCGCAACTAGGGTTACAATAATCGGCAATCTAAAAATTGACGAAAGAGTAGAAACTCGTTGATCACGATAAATTGAAACGAAATTGTTGAAGTCAGTAGAAGTGAAGTTTCAAACGCAGAGTAAACAGAGGTTATTCAAACAAAAATGAAACAAATAGGATGAAGCTAACAGTGAAGCTCGTTGAATTGAATTCGATTACGTTGATAGTAGCAGTCCGTAGGATGAAACGATAAAAGACGGACGAAATTCACCTCGGATAGGGTACCGGTGGTTCCACTTCCAATGGTGGAACTATGGAAGCGGAGATTTCAGCAAAAGGAAGAGCAAAGTGAGACCGGCGAACTTCTGATGCCTCCGGCGACGGTTGCCTGCCGTTCTTCCTTAAATCGCCCTATCTTTCGGCTTATGCTTAATGCCAAACCCAAATCTCTCTCTCTCTCTCTCTCTCTCTCTCTCTCTCTCTCTCTCTCTTGTTGTTAAAGATTTAAATCCTATATTGATTTGTTAAAAAGAAAAAAAAAATTATTTCTTTAACAAATTATAGACTAATAAAACGTTTGAAAATTAAATCTCGTATCATAATCATTTTATTTCTTATTTCTTATTTTTGAAAAATTAAGATCAGAAACATTATTTTCATAATTCCACCTTGTATTTATTTCTTTTATTATCTGTTTTTACAAATGATTTCAAAATCTAAGCTAAATTTTGAAAATAAGAAATATTTTTTTAATTTTTTTTAATAATTCAAAACATGACAAATATCTCAAATAAATAGAGTAGCACGAAGGTTTAGGAAAAATAGGATTTGAACTAATTTTCAAAATATTTTTTTTTATTTTTTTTTCTAAGAATCCAAAACATGAAAAATATCTCAAATAAATAGAATAGTATGAAGGTTTAGGAAGAATAGGATTTGAACGATTTTAACCTATAGTCTAAAGGACTATTTAGAATCTTTCTCTTTTTAAATTTTAGGGACAAAATACACCGCTAAAATTTTAAGGACAAAAATATATTTTTACTCTTTATTTATTTATCAATTTCATTTTTTTTTTTTTACTTTTCTAAAGTATCTATGAAATCTTGTCTAATTGAAAAAAAATTGAATTTTTTTTAGTTTAAGGTTTAATTAAAAATAGATAAAAGTCATTAGCTAAAGCGAACGCATAATTGACATACATTTCCAACCAAAAGATTGTGAGTTTCTTTAAAACTAAAAATCCTTTTAACCCTAAAAATTTTCGGAACAAGAGCGAAAATGACATTTTAAAAATAAATAATAGTAACCACAATGTATAATTTTTTTCAAATAAAGTAGTTTGTAAAGTGATTTCTTTATTATAATAATTTTGACTTGTATCGTAGAATGAGTATGATTTGTTTTATTTTTCTTTTTCATTGCTTGACTTCAATTAATAAGATTATTTTTATAGCAAAAAGAATATTTGTTTTAAACAAAAATTAAGAGATATGGTTTTAAAAAAAGATATCATTAAATAGGTTTTACAAGTTTACAAACATGAGAAGGTACAAATACAATAGTATGAAGTAGAGCTAGAAATTCTTGCATGTGCTTCTTCAGTACGATGTTGCCTTAAAATCTAACAAAACTACAATAAACTTCTTACAAATTCTCGATTTGTTAGAATATCTTGAAATACTATTAAACTCAATTTAAATATTGAGGTTAATTTATTAGGCATGACATCGTAATTATAACCTTTTTTGCGACGATGTGTTACAATGGATACTTCATCCCTAAAAAATCCTTAAAATCTAATAGAGTAATAATGAACTCCAAATCAATTCTCGACCAAAAGACTTTGTTAAAATATCATAAAATATTGTTAAGTTGAATTTAATTCCTGAGGTTGATTTTATTAGACACAACGTTGTTATTCTAACATTTTCCGCAACCATATTGCAAATGAGACCTTATTCTTATTCATATGTAGACTGCTTTGATTTATTTGTTCCTTGATTGTTAGCTTTTGTCGTGTTAGGAGAGTCTTATATTTCTTTCATTATAGTAAAAATTATCTCTTCTCATCGATTTTTTCCACTTCAAACCTTGCTACCTTCTTATCAAGGTGTTCAAATTTGTTGGTAGCTATAAAACCAATGGTTAAAGCAAGAATCTTGAGAAATTTAGACCACCAAACATTAAAATTTCAAGATAATTTGACAATATTCATGTGACCAACAATCCATCCATGGTAGCATAAAAGTATTTGATCCGTCTAAATCATAGTGGATTGAATAGGATGATGGTAAAGAAGTTATCCATAGATAGAAAGAAATAACATTATAAAATTAGTCTCTCAACTTTTAAAATAGTTTATATTAAATTTTTGTATTTTAAAAAGTTTCTGATAGTTCCTAAACTTTCAGGTTGTGTCACCTTAATCTCTTTACTTTCAAAAAGTATCTTTCGGAATTTTTTTTCTTTTGTTTACAGCAAACGCCCATGCTCCAACCAGTTTTTTTGTCTTTCCATTTTTGCTAGTTTGTGTACTACACAATTTCCTCCCTGCTTGCAAAGCAAGAACGAAATGAAGGAAAGTTGGTGAGACAATGGAAGAATTCCGAATAATGAACTTTTAATTGTGACGATAAATCCTTATTGTTAGCTCCATCCATTAATATTTATATGTCTCATGTATTATTTAAAAGTAACACTTGATTTCAAGCTGTTTCAAAATGTTTGGTGGCATAAATGTTAGACTAAAGTAAGAACCTATTAGACACAAAATTAAATGTTCAATGTCTTCTATAAAATATAGGGACCAAATATACGTAACTTAAAAAATTTAGATAACTATTTAAAAATTATAAAGTACAAGGATTTAATAGACACTCGTCTCAAAGTTCATACCACAGGCTAAAACCGCTCCACAATAGGATTGGGTGGCACTTTCTTGTCATACCAAAACAAGTAGAGAAGAAAAGAGCTCGTGTAGAATTCCCGGGTGGCCCTCGATTTTTTAGCCTATCGAGAGATTAGACGACAGTTGAAATAGCTTTTGAGCATGGCAAACAAGCCAAAAAGAAAATCTTTTAGAACCTTTTTTCTAGTAATGGGGTGTAAGGCAGCAATTATTTGTGCTGATGAGCGGCTACTGAAACTGAAACCTTCTGTGCATCAGTAAGCAGATGAGTACTGACAATTACACAATTTGTTGATTCAATCCACCAGAGGATAAATATTCCAGAAATCAAAACAAACAAGCAGAAAAAGGAGAGTCCTCATCCCCAGAAATGACTGTTTTTCTATCAAAAAACTCAACTGATGTTATATATATCATTACTTATTGCATAGTTTGTACATCGAATCAAAATTTTTGTCTCATACACCACAAAGCTAACATGAGACTTCTACATTGATGATTCAGCATTACTCAATGAACTCCTGCTATTAGAAACAAAAAGAGAAGCTTTTATAATTACTCCTGCCTAGCAATGAATGATTACAAAGAACCTATAGGTATATAAACTAATGAACAAAGAATTTGACCCTGCCATTTCGGGTCTAGTATATAATCTGAATTTTCTATGCCATTCCCATCGAAGGGAAGAAACTATAACTCCCAGTGGGCTTTTGAATTTCGAGGAAATGACTATGAAATCCCAGTGCCAACGTTTAAGGTCATTGAGATTGAATACCTGGTTTCCAGATGCCAAAGCCAGCTCCATTTCCATCAAATCCAAACTTTCACATCAGAGTCCTCCGATCAATCATCTTTCCACCCTTCTGAATAACTAATAAGCCTGTTCTGAGATCAAGAAATACCATGGGGGCAAGCAAGTATAGCTTTCAATACAAAACAACAGAATGATATAGTCTTGTTTCCCAATCTAGCTTGAATCTTAAAGACGTTAGCTGAGAAAAGAAGCAGAATGTCACCCGTCGTCAAAGCACCAGCTCCCGTATGCATGTCTTCATCTCCATGTAGATTTACATAGCAATACATCAAATACAAGCACTATCTTGTTGCAGATTCATTCTCAACAAGTCCAAAAGTAATTTTTAGACGATTTTGTATATTTTTAAGGATGTTTTTTGTAATCCTTTTCTGATGCTTAGTGCTTTTCTGCCAGGCCATTCCAAAGAATACTAGTATGCTACATCCCCTCAACTTGGAAGGTAAATCCTCAATTTGATATCTAAGGTGAACCTGCAAGGGAAGATGCATTAAACTGATCAATGAGCGCAGAAGTTTCTCAATCAGAGGCAAGATCCTACGGACCTTGCATTGGGACTACATTCAAGTTAAGTAAAAACATAATTACTTAATATTCATACATTGAAATAGTCACCAAGGGGAACTCCATGAAGTGTCAAGACCTCTTCAACGAGCCAACCATTTTTAGAAGGAAGGGAGCGTCTTTGCTGTGTAGTTGTCACTTCCACTCTGTAGTGGGAGATACGCTTGTCAAATATATAATATATTTGCCTATCAAAAACATTATCCTTCTCTGATTCCCATGGAGTAAATGAATAATTAAGACAACCAGCCTTCTCCATGACTTTGCGTTCCAACTCAGCCCCATTGAATAGTTCCACAGCAAAGCTGGTCTGGAAGCACCAGCAGTCAGCAGAAATAATGTATGATCAGCCACTAGCGTGTAACAAGTATATTAATAATTGAATAAACTAAAACCAATGACACAAAAATGTTTCGCCTATTGGTCCACAATTAATTTAATAATTTCAAAATTTTCTCGATGGTTTCCCTTAATTTACTTTATCTTTTGATGCTAAGAATTGTATAGCAAATGGTCTTCCTTCAATAATACATATGTTTAATACTTGTAAACTACTTGAATATGAAATAAATAGAAAATCTAATGTGGAGGCTTCGTGATTGTGACATAAATTAGTAATTACAATTAAAAAGCATACATGTCCAATACCAAAACTTTTGATGTTTCCTAAGTTCGGACCTGGGGGTGAGCTATCGATTTCGGGTTATAGAAAATAATAAAATAAAAATAAAATAAACCTCTAATAGCATTATTAGTTTAATTATTTGCAACATCATTATAAATTATTATTATTATTTTGGTTCTAAGCCAATCAATTATTGGACGGGTAGAAAAAGTCAACTTCCTAAGGCTAAGTCAGTAATTATACGTTCAGTAATATGAAACTGAAACAAACTACGTTCAAAAGAATTCTAAATCAATAATGGACAAATTTAGAATTAACAGATCTCCTGAGAAAAGAAATCACTTCATACAAGATTAAAAAGATTGAACAAAATTTTTAAACAAATTTTAACAGGAACGTGGTTCAATTATAAAGCTTCTCATAATACAAGAACATAATAGAATGAACCACATAAAATAAACATGATAATAGAATACTGTGGAAAAATGTGCAATTGTTAAGTTCATGTGCACAAAGTTGACGGAGAGAGAGAGAGAGCTTACAGGAACAGAAAGAGTGGATGAGTAAACCTCAGACATGGTGACTTCACTGAGACCCAAAAATGATCCACTCTCTTCAATTTGTAAGCGAGCATCAGACTCTTCTTCAACTATTCGCACTTTCTGCTCTGGACTCAAAGATTTAGCCTTCCACAGAGCCATGATTGTCCTAAAAATCAATTCAGAGTTAAAACTTTTACCAAAGTTATCAGTTGCAAAAGTGTTTCTAAATGCAAGAACATTGAGATGGCATTCCTAATGTTCAATGTGGGAGACAATAGGAATGGCCACTTTTGGAATAACCTATTAGCCTTGTCAAAGGTGTGTAATAAAATCATTGCTAGAATACAAGGCAGACAGATCAAGATGCTATTCCTTTCACCAGTTCCCAGAATCAGTTTGTCTTTCTGAGGAAAAGACAAATTTTGGGCTCGATTCTAATGGTTAACCAGTTGATTATAACCTAGGAAAAAGGGAAAGGTGGGTTGTCAAAAGAGATTTGGCCAAAACCTGTGATCTGGTAATGGGATTCCCATCTTGAGATTCTATGGAAGAAAGCCAAAAAAGAGAGGTGGACTTCTTGAATGAGAGCTGCATATGTAACACTAAGTTTTAGGTCTTTATAATGGAAAACTGAAGAGTAGGAAAAAAGCCACCCCGGGGGCTGAGGCAAGTGATCCCCTCTTCACTTTTCTCATTCTAGTAGTAGTTGATCACTTGAGCAGGCATTTGGAGCATGGGCCAATGGCTAAGCTATGGCAAGGTTTTCAAACTAGAGAAGCAGTATCATCTGCAAAAGCAGATGACACAACTATTAGACGTTCTTATAGCACACACAAGCCGAAAACCTCTTCGATATTCTTCAGATGCTTGAGGTGGCTTCAGGCTGAAAACTAACGTGCAGAAAATTGTGATGACTGGAACCAACATTAGCAAGCAGGCAATAGAAATCAGGCAACTCGACTCCATTGAAGTGCTGGATAGTGGCCTCTAACCTATCTGGGAATCCTGCTTAGAGAAAATCCAAGAAAACAAGAAAAATTTCACTCTTTCAAGGTGGCTGTCTTACGCTAGTTCGATTGGTGCTTTCCAGTATTTCTCTCTCTTTAAGATTTCTTGAATGAAAGAGTTTGAGGATATGGCTCTGATTGGTTTCACCACCACTAGAGATCGGACAGTTGGTCATATAATCAGTATAATGCCAACCTCTTGTAAGAGAAGAGAAGGGGTGAGGGCTACCAATTGATATTATACAAGTTAAAGTGAAATTCCATTACATTAAGTCATGTATTCTAATTGTTGTGATTTTCAGGAAAACAAATAACCAATTTCTAGCTGCAGAGCAGCGACAATGACAGAAAGAAAAAAAATAGAGATATCATTAGAGGAGGAAACAAGGAGATTGAAATGTTAGGTTTAAAGGTGGACTCAAGGTGATAGGCCTAAGCCTCAATTTTATTTATCAACAAGCCAATGGAGATTAGAGAGCTCCCTACCTCTCCCAAGTTCTCTACAGAGAATCCCAGCACAATTCACCAAAATAAGATATCCCCCCCTTACTACTTCCTCCCTAGATATACCTGTATGCATATAACTAACAAATATTCCCTAGGGCCCACCCAAAGAGTGCGTAATGCACCTGTTTAAACAGTTTCTCCCTTCCTCCCTCGCTTACGTTGATACACTTTAGTAATATGGGGTCTATCACAAGGTTCTTTCTCTCAAGATGCGAGACATAATCCTCGAGAAGATACGAGTAACACTCTATTTAAATAAAAATTTAGATAAAAATCATAAAAACGTATAAACAAAGTTTACAATACATATATATATTATCACAGTAAAAAGTACTCAAATCTATCAATTTTCACTTTTTTCTAAGGCCATTCTTAATATTGTCATTATTACCACGGTTTGCTATGTATAATATCATCATTGTTACCATAAATAAGATCAATTTGTTTCATTTTCTGCCTACAATGTCTTCTTTTAAGCCTGATGGTATAAGCTTAACTGGCTAAATTACTACAACTTATGGTACATTAGCATTACACACATATTGTACTTTAATTTGATAAGAAGATATTATACTTTAAGATTTAAGAAAAATAGACAGCCAAATGACACTACTATTCTAACCATTTCACAAGGTATTAAGATTCCAAGCTTCAATACCTTGGCCTTCTTATGCAGGCCCAAGCCTTTTTGAGAGTGTTTATAAATTCCTTGCAATCAGTTATTAGTTTTTTCCTCTTTTCTCTCTCTCTTTCACTCTTTCGAGAGTTTGTTTCCTTGAACACTCGTATTATCTTTTCATTATTTCAATGAGAAGATGTATCTTTGTTCAAAAAAATAAGAAACATAATCATCTTATTATCCAAAGGTGTGATCCTCGAGACTAAAAATTTAATCCTCACGCCTAGGGAAGTCCCTAGACATGTAAAACACTGAGTGGATGGAGGAGCTCGTTTGATTAATCGGAGCAGCGTCTAGGTGAGTCCGGAATGTGGTCTTGTTTGGTAATCTTAGGTTGAAGAATGTGGATTTGGCTTCTGGGTAGGCTTGACATTTCCCTTGGAAGAAGAGTCCTATGGCACTTGATAGTGGCTAGTAAGCATGTACTACCCATGGAAGGTGGTTTACAAGCGAGGAGAAAGGTACCAGTGGAAGAAGTGAAGTTCATGGACTTTGTTTCTTAATACGAAAACTTAATGATGCCTTCCCTAAAAATTCAATGGCGGGAATTGGTAGCAATGTCCAAAAGACCATTTCGCTAAGAAACCTCTTCCTTAGATTGTACTCTAAAAACGACCCCCTTCGACATCTTCAAGTAAGACATGGCGGAAAGCTGGAGAGCTCAAATTTCATTTAATTAATTCTTCATCAGCATCAATAGATGTTCTAGGCCATTTACTTTCTCAAGATTTACCTTTCAAATGAGCCAACAAAGAAACGATGGACCTTTAATACCCCTGCTGCCCCTATTGGACAGTAATAACCCTTCTTCTATATTAACTAAGGTGTCCAACTTAATAAATTCTCCACAATTTTGATAAGAATGCTATTAGGATAGCATTAGGGATATTATTAGGGTATTGAGGGTATATTAGTAATTAAATAGGAAAGTTGTTAGGGGGATTTGCTATAAATATAGTGAGTGGGAAAGGATTGAGGGAGGGAATTATTAAGTGTGGTTAGGATTTAAGTAAGAATACTCAAGAGAGGAGAGGATTCAAGTACCTCAAATTGCTTGGTATAGTAGTTTTTCTACCTTTTATATTTCAATATATTTCTAGTTGTTTGGTTATATCACATTCATATCAATTCTTTTTTTCCCTTGGAGATTCCAACAACCTTATCTCCCCATCTGCACACATTATGTTGCATGACTTAAATGAGGTGTTAATTTCAATGCCTTGAGAGCCATCCTTATGAAACGAATTCCCATATGTTCACAAATCAGTTAGTCACCAGACACCAGCCCTCTTATCAAAGTTTAGGTGTTAGTTCCCAATGCCTTGAGAGCCATCCTTATGAAACGAATTCCCATATGTTGATAAATCAGTTAGTCACCAGCCCTCTTATCAAAGTTTAGCTTAGCAAATGCAGTCGAGATTCAACTTCAGGTTCATTTGAATTGAAGATTTCATTAAATTTTGGTGGTGATTTTGGTTTTCTTGCAGCCTACGTGCTTGCACTTCTAATCAAGCAAAATTCTTGGACAATTTTTCTGCAGTGGGTTCCATTCAATCCTTTCTTCTCTTTCATTCCAATAGAATTGCGTGAGTAGTCCGCTATGCCCTGTATTCTATATCATCTTATTAGTGTTACTGGTGAACCTTTCCTTCCAAGTAATCTACTCCCATTTCTTGAGTATGCTGTTGGAGATGATTTAAGAATCCTAATTTCAAGGTACCTCTCTTGCACCCAATCTAGATGGAGATGAGAACATCCTTGCACACCAAATTGATACATCCTAGCAACTAAGTATCTAAATCTTAAGATTACTCAAAAAAATTATTTATCCAATATCAAAGTGCTCGAATTTCAGAGACATTCCTATACTTAAAAGGTTTCCTAGTAACCAATTTTTAACTAACCAACCAAAGCAAATAATCCTAAAATAACTCAATAAACAAATGAACGACTATTAAAACTAATTAAGTAGGCTAACATAACAAACTAACAACTACCAAAATCAATAAACTCAAAGCCAGAATTACCAAATTATCATTATTCTACTAGATCAATCCACACAGTCCGAAGTTTCTGATCTCGAAGGGAAACTATTCTAGCAATAAAACACTTCCCCTCAACTTGAATATTGATCTTTGAAGAATAAATCCACTGGCTACATAAGTACAAGTACCAAAAGAAAAGAATAGACAAAAAGGTCATGACAGGCGTTAAAAATCTTTTCATAGAAAATTAAATGCACTAAATTAGCAAGAGGGTAGGAAACTACCTATGTGCTACACCAAACGATACAAAGGAATGGAAATGGAATTTCAGCCTGCCTTCCTCATCTAGTGTCTTTGCACCACTCCTTGCATCCATACCTCTACCTGCTCGGAGAGTTATAACGATAATTGGACTACCCATTGATGAAAGAGTAGGAGCAACAACTTGAATATCCTCAATGTCCTCCCAAAGGAAAAAGAATTTGGTCTTATGCCCAAATATATTTGCATGGAAACCTATGACTCTAGCTGACAGAAAGAGGCGCCCCTGGACACAGGAACTAATTGTTAGATGAAACTCATGAGGTATAATTTAAATTACTGGATGAAAATAAAGTCAACAAAAACAAGAAATTCAATTAACTATAAACATTACTAAAGCACCTGAATTGGCATTTTACGCTTCAAATGACAGGTAAAGTCATTAATAAGAAATTCTTCAGCTGGAAGCCCAAATAGTTTCTGAAAGGCTGAGTTAGACTGAGGAGAACGCAAATTGATCTACAATTCATTCAAACTAATGTTATTAGTATATGAACGCAGTGAGAGATAGGCAATCAAGAATGTAATTCCGAAGGTGGGATGCTCGCTATGTACCTTTTTCCCAACCTCTTTTTCCATTTTACTTAAATAATCTTTAACAACATTAACGTTGCTGCCTCTCGTATTATCCAAGAAAATCCTCAAGTGCAATTTGGATTGGCATGTCTGAGCCAACTTCCCCTGAAGAGGTATCCATATGTCAGCTAAATCTGATATAGTAGTCCTGAGAAAATTGATCTCGGCATGTCCCAAAGATGTAGCCTCATCAAAAGGCCCATCAAAATCATAAACTTCAACTCCCAACACAGAAGGGGGTTCATCCATTGCATCAAATTCAAAAATTTCTGAAAGAAAAACAAGGTCTCTGTAAGAACTTAAATCATTTCAGTTTCTCATCTGAATAGAAAATGTTGTATCAAATATAAATTTAAGACATAAGATTCAAAATCAAAAATAGATTTCCATGAGTTAATCGGAGATCTAGGTAATAACTCGTAGATGACAAACATATTTAAAAAATACCATTCCATTGAGGATCAGATTTCTGGAACTTAATTGAGCTGTTTTTTGTTTTCCCATTACATGTAAACACCACATATGGGTCAGATAAGCCACTTGAATCAACTGCGGCTAAACTACACCCTTCAATCAGAGCAACGGTTAGCAACCATCCATCTCCCTGTGCTTTGACTCCATGATCACTCCCTGTTATGAATAAAGACTCTGTAATCAGCTAGAGCTTGCAGTAACAACTGACTGCGGCATATTATACTGAAATTACCTTTCTGCAGTCTGGCATGCATGAAGCGTGAAATCATCCCTAAAACACGTTGACCCTGCAGAACTAGGACGCCACACACAATGAATTCGCCTATTGAATCAGGTAAGTCGAGCCCTACAAATTCAAGCCCCTGAATCATGCTAGGTGCAGCCAGCCAAATGTGTACAAGCACGTACAAAGCCATAAAAGTAGTGAACACAACACTGCAATTAGCAAAATATTGTACAGCAAGTTTAAAGGTTGACTGCGGCTGCAGCTGCAAAGATGCCAAAACCTGTTCCTTATTTGACCCAATATTCTTTTGATCAACTGGAGGAACAGTCTGAGATAACAAACTAGTATACTGATCAAAATTGTCCTTTATACCTTGCCTCGCTCCATTCTCAATCATTCCTTTCATCATAGTGCTCTGAAGAAAATTCATTCGCCATGAAACTACCAATCGCGAAGATTTCTCTTCTGACGGAAGGTCAGGACCAGGTGTTATGCAGTAAAGTATTTCTACTTTGAATGTGCTCCCATACATTACATCTGGAGTGCTTACAATAGCTAGAACTGCATAAACCTTTCCATCAGCTTTTACGTATGTCTGTTCCTCATATGCTTTGACAGCTTTGATTAGTTTTGTTGGAGCCTTAAGATATGATACTGTTCTCTTTAAGCTTTCACCATCATTCTCGAATTTCCAATTTCCAAGTTGCAGTTCTGTAGTTCCCTGAATATCAGCCAAGGATCGTAGAAAACTTGAGTCTGATGAAAAGAGTAGAGAATTGAGGTCCGAGGGTGAAATGGCATACAATTGATCGACCATTATTCCTGGAAAATTTGAAGGGGTTTCGGTTTCTTGATCCTTTGACTCCATTACTTTTATTGTTTCTTCAAATGTAGCCATTGAGGACTGATCTTCTGAATTGACTTCAGAAACTTCAGATGGGGACAGTTCAGGTATCTCTGACAATTCAATAGTAGGTCGACAAGAAATGGACGGGGCAGTATCAACGTTTTTATGAAAAATTTGAGCAATGCGACCAGCAAAAGTCTTCTGTTGAGAAAACCTATGTTCCCTAAACGAACTTTCTCTTTGCCTCACTGGAGACGGTGAGCTAGATTTGCTACTTTGAGACCTCGACGGTGAACCCATTATTTCATCGCCAGGCGTCTTTGGATAAGACGCGTTACCATTGGAACTGAAATCTACAAATGCGTTGCTTTGAGAAAAACATATAACAAGAAGGATTTCACCTGCCAAGATTAGAACATACAACTTCACTTTCTCAACGCGTTATCAGGAGCAATATTTCATGACAAGAAACTGAAAATTAATCACGGTGAATGTCATCACAGCTCTAGCAACAGAACCACAAATTGGATCACATATCATGAAAACAGAATAGCTTAAATCGTGTATTGCACTTTAACTTCTTATAAATAAATCTGTAATGAATCCCATTTTTCCTATTCTCCGGAAGGGAAAAAAAAAACAATACAGAGGCAAACCCAAATGACGGAGTTACGTGAAAACTATGGACATTACAACATACCACAATCCTTCTGCTTGGATTTTTTGTTTTTGGGTTGAATAGAATACCAAGCAGTGCCAAGCGACCCATTATCAGAATCAAAAGCCCGCGAAACGGGCATCTTAACCTGTCCAACAAAATCATCATTGAAATACTTATCTTCGTCCAAGATAGAGATAATTAGCTCTTCGTCAAGATCATCCACCCGGAAGCTAAACTCTTCTCCCCAAGTCGGATTTAAGGTCTTCTTGACCACCTTGGTCCTAAACCTCTGCCTACCAAGCTGCAACCGGACGTACGGATCACTGAATCCATTTAGATCCGTTGCTGGTAAATTCCGAGCCTCGATTACACGAACGGTCAGCTTCATATTCTTGTATCCAGAACACATAGATTTATATTTTTTATAATATATGTATATAATTGGAAATTGAACGGAAAATTAATAATATACCAACTAGGCGAAAAGAATTAACCCTCCGGACGAAGAGCTTGGAATGGAAAACTGAAAACGAAGCTGAAAATTCATGTAATCGATTCTACAGAGTGGAATGTGAGAAAGCACATGAAAACCAAATTGAAATGGGTGTCAACATATGTGATGATCCCGTTAAAACAATGACGATATGAATTCGTTGGATTCAATTAAGCAAAGTAAGAAAAGGGAAATCCGGGGGAGCAAGAAAATTGTTAGGAGTGAGAGACAAAAAGAGAGGAAAAAAGTTTTGGAAGTTGGGGAGTTCAAAGTGAGCGAAACTTTTAGCCATCATGATCCTATTTGCAATTGCGCGTATATGGATTGGCTTCTGTTTCAATTCCTCTTTCGCTTTCTTGGAGATGGACCCTCCATCATTGACTTTCGTTATCAGAAAATTCAAAGCARATTTATTGACAATCCACGAACAATTCTGTTCTGCAAATTTTCTACCCAACCAAACACGAAATTGTGATCAATGTCAATTAGGGTTATTTTCTGACGTTTCGTTTTATCGTTCTCCGTTCATTGATTCTCAGCTTTTTCGTTTTTTTATCACATACGAAATGCAACGTTTAATTGTTTCATTTTATTGGATATGGTTCAATGTTTTCAATTAAATTTTATTTTATTTCTAAAAACTTAAAACTTTTTAATTACGAATTTAACCTCTAAACTTTAATGTTTTTCTAATAAATCGAATGATGGGAATTTGAAACTCGACGTTAATGGAAAAGTTATATGTCTTTTACTATGCTAGCGCTTATGTTCCCTCTTTTTCATTCTCGTCACTTTTTTAGTTCAATATGTCGGGTGAGATTTCAACGTATAATAACATTTTGGTCTATAATAATGTCTTAATCAATTGAGTTATGCTCAATTGCTAACTGGTCGACATCTATTTTTGACCAAAAGGTTGATCTTGGAGATTGTGTAATGCTTACTCTCAAACTATTTGTTTATACGGTAGTAATATTCTATGTTTCTCTCTTCATTCTCGAATTCCTATATAATGACCCGAGACGTTAAAAATAAAAAAAATAGAAATTTTTTTACTTGATTTTGAAATGTTCTTAAAATTTTATCTATTCCATATCTTCCCCCAATTATAAATATATATATATATATATATATATATATATATATATATATATATATATCAAATAATTGACAGAAACGAAAAGAGAGGGATTTGAACCCTCGGTACAAAAAACTCGTATTCGTGTTCGAATTTCTATCCTCATATATGGTAATAAAAAAATGTAAAATATAATGCAATATTATTAGAACAAGTTATTTATTATTTTAACTTGCTTGTTTATCCTAATCTTCAATATTTTATAAATTCTTATTTTTATGTTCGATTTGTTTGGTAATTATAGTCTCTTTTATTTTGTTAAAGCCATCATCAAACGAACTAGCATTAATGTCATAGCAAGTTTAGGGTTAGAATATATTCCATGCAAAACCACAAGTAATCCTCAAAAATAATAAAAACAAAAATGGAAAGACTAGATTGGCCATTGGAGATGCCATGTTGACATATAGTATATATAAGGTTAAATTACAAAAATACCCCTACAACTTTTCTTAGGTTTCCAAAACTTCAATACTAATTTTGCTTGACCTTCCAAAAATATAATTTAAACAAACATCCGTTAATATTTTAATGGAAAATTGACTTATCAAAATCTGAAATGACATGATAATTAACTTAAAAGTTTGGGTTTGAGAATAGGGAAAATGTGGAACAAAGGTAATAATAACTATCATTTTTTTTAATGTGAATGATGGTAAAATTAGGTAGACAAAGGAAAGCAAACTCAATTGACCGTGAAATAGAAGATTTTTAGGGCAAAAATTGAGACTTAATGTCACGTCAACTACTAAATTAATTACTACATCTTTCGAATTCTCCCCATCAATTTTTGTACTGTTGAAAATATTACCAAATGTTTGGTAAACAGGTATTTTTGTAATTTAGCATATATATATTAATGGACAAAGAATCACCTATGATGTTCGAGCTGTCCCAAATTACTTTATAGCTCACAATCATATATTCGGGATAATAGATTCATTATTTTGCTCCAACTACACCCAATCTATATGATTTTTTCTGTTTCTTTGGTACCCAAAATGTTACGACAATGGATCAAATTATATTTATTTCTCTTTCAATATAATTAATTTCAACTTAAAAATCAGTTAACTATTTCTATCGAAATAAAGTAATTTCTATAAAAATTTTCTATATTGCTTGATTACAAAATACTGCTGTTCAATAGTTCAATGTATAACTATTTATTTGAAATTGATGAAAAAGGGAATATGAAGATAAGGTTCATTCTTGAGAATGAACATTTCTTCTCCCTCGATATCGTGATTTTTTTAGCTTATCAATCTTGGTCGAATCTCATTTTTTGATTGGTTGTTCGTCTAAGACTTTTAGACTTTGATATTATATTAATATGGAGTTTCATCTCAAAACCAACTAACAAGGAGAAAAGTAGCTCATGTCCATTATAAATCTTTCCCAATCAATATAATTTAAAAAGAGAACCGTGGTATAACTCTTAAACATAGTGTAACATTAATGAATTCTTTATTTGAAGGATTGCATTATTTTCAATGCCTTGGAATATAATATTTCCACAATTAAGAATATCATTAGCAATCCCTAAAACAACTAAAATAATTGTCCTATTTTTATGTATTAGGTAAAAAACAATCAATGAAAAAGTGGTGTAGAAGGAAAGTGTGTGCGTAAAGTAGAAATTTCATTTAAAAAGAATATCGAAGGAGAAATTAGTGGGAAAAATATGTATAAAGAGAGATGTTCAATACAAAATATGTATAAAAAACTAGTGAAAGTAAATTATCGTGAAAAAAGTTTTAGTTGGGAAATTGGAGGCTAATATTATTTTAAAACATATTATACAAAATTAAGGAGTTATCAATTTTAAAACATATTATATAAAATTAAGAAGTATGTTTGATAACGAAAATGATCTTGCTCTAATAAACTAATTCAATCTATATTCGAGAGAAAATATTGTTCGTACTCTTCAAAGTCGGCATGTGGTCTAACAAAGTAATAATACTCTATAAAAGAATTAATGTCAATTTCAAACAATGTCGACAAAAAATGCGGAGATCTTGATTTTGTTTATATTAGATATTTGGGAAAGATCGTAAATTTTATTTTCGTAAGATGTCGGGCTTCCAACATATTGCATAAATGTTGCTTGACACTAATATATTTCAATGGGTGGTATTTTCAAAACATATTTTTGATCGTTAGGTGTCTATATATTCTTCATCAAGAGTGTTCTTATTTCGAAATCTACATGTTATTCAACTAAAAATAATAATAATAATACTACGGGATTACATGCACATGTTTAATTTCGTTAGACAAACACCGAAAACTTTCTGTTCAAATGTAAAGAATGAATTTTATTATCGCATATAAATTAAACTAATATCTCTCAAACCCAAAAAAGGAAAGAAAAAAAAAAACTAAAACTTCAATATAAAAAATAAAAAATCCTAAAAATGCTTCAGAATCAGAACAAGCCGGAAGAAATGACGATAGGACTCCTAACGAAGTGCTCGCCGTCGGTCCAAATCAGCGTCCCGTCGACCACGCGTTTGGCCGGCACAACTCCGGCGATCGTCAATTTGAAGCTCTTCTCCTCTCCAACTTTATCGAATTTCAGAAATCTCGGCTCCACCGAAACCCTAACTCCTTCCGGCTGCCGAACTCTGGCTCTGTAAACTCCGGGAGTGCCCACGTTCTTCAATCTTCTGGTCACCGTAACGCTTCCGGTCATGTTCTGAACTCCGATCGAAGGGTAATTGAAGTTCAGAAGACTGGCGGAAGGCGGACATTTGTACGGACCGTCGGAGAATGCTCTGATCTTCTTCTCATCGTATCCGATGGCGCACAGAAATTCCAAGTAATCGTCGGGCGTCAGATCGTAAACCAGGCCTGGATCGACGGCTCCGATTGGGCGAATGTGGCCGGAGCCGTAGCTGAAAGGAGTGGCCGGAGCGAGTTCGTCTGTGCCGCCGTCGAGCATCGGCTTCATTGTGTTGTCTCTGATTCTGGCTGCGATCGCAAATTCGATTTCAGGTTAGGGATTAATTAATCAATCAATTAATAGTAAAATTGTGTGATTAAATTGAACAATAATGGGGTGAATTGAGGAACCAGAGGTCATGATTGCGGATTTAATGGCGGAAGGGCTCCAATTAGGATGCAGAGATCGGAGGAGGCCGGCGAGTCCGGCGACGTGGGGGCAGGACATGGAGGTGCCGGACATGGTGATGAATGGAGCCGTTCTGTTGTCGAAGGGCTCGCCGGTGGGGCTCACGGCTTCCGTGTAAGCAGCAATAACGTTCACACCAGGCGCCGTCACATCAGGCTGCACAAGTTTAAGGAGTGACATAATTAGTGATTTTTAAAAAATAGATTTAAATAAATAAAATTTTCAAAATCACCCCCCTATTTTCCTAGAAAAAATTGAATCATACCATTAGGAAGTTTGAAATTTTTTAGTACACATATCCCATCATGAACGGTGTTCAAGTATTTTTGTTTGAGCCATACAAGACGAAATTCTCGTAAACAGTTCTCAGAGATTGACATAATACAAATCAAAAAATAATCGTAAAATTATCAAACATGAACAATGAAAACAGGGGTGATTTTGACAATTGCAAAAATGAATTTGATCAGGCAAAATCACTCACAAACACAGGAGTGGTTTTTTCATTAATTAAATTACAATTATTCAAACGTGTCGATGTGTATAAAAAATTTTATGTTATGCATAGAATTTGTATTAAAATTTTGTAAACATAGATAAAAATATCTTCTTTAAATCACAATTTGAGAGTGAATTAACCAAATTTGATGATTTAAAAGTACAAAAGCTACAATATAACCTTATAAGTCCAAAATAATATTTATATCTTCAAATTTGTCTGAAAACAATTTAAGGCTAATATGAAAAACGATATTACATTATCCTGCCATCCACATTAAACCACTACGATCAAACATTTAATGGTACAAAATAAGTGTTCGCCTCACCAAAGTATTTTCTTTTAAAAACTAGCACAAACTTAACAAAATTACTATAAATACCCTATTGAATTACCACTAAACATCCACCTACTTCTTTGTTTTGTTAACACAACTTAAAAATATTTAAAATTTGGAAAACAAATAGCTTTTAAAAATGGTATGTTATTATTTTTAAAATTTCGCTAAGAATTTAAGTAACAGAAATAAAACTGAAAACAAAAAACGAAGTGAATTATCAAGTGAAATCCAAACCTTGATGATCTCAGGAGTGACAATATTGGGTCCTCTAGAGGAGAAGGCCGCCATAACCGGAGCAGGCTTGGTGTTAAGTTTCGCCGCCGGCGGGATCAGATACCCCATAGGGTTCCTAAAATAATTATTAAAATAAACCATCAACAAATTAAACCAAATACGAAGAAGAAAACAAATATAATTAATTAATTTTAATTACTGGGTGGACTGAATATATTTGAGAACAGCTTGGCCATCGTTGTAATTGACATGGGAAGCCGGAAGAAGGTGGGGATCGGCGATGGTTTCGAAGCCGCTGAGCTCGTCGTTGCAGAGAATCATGCCGGCGGCGCCAGCGAGGGCGGCTTGTTCTCCTTTGTCAACTCTTGCGTTGTCTCCTCTCAAGCATGCCAAGATCTTCCCTTTCGCCTTCGAATGGTCCAGCGTTTCGGGCTTGCAGAGCATCGCGTCGGCCGCCGATGCATTCTCGGCCTTCGCCTGAGCTCCGGTTATCAGTGGGTATAGCTTGTCTTCCGGTAATGCTGTGGAAAGGCTGGAACCCTAATCACCAACAAAACACAGCAAAGTAAATATGTGGCACTGGTACATATGATAAAGACGGGTTAATAAATTAACTTTTATGGTTGCTTTTAGTGTTTTAAGATATGATAGGAGGGTCGGGTTTTTTAGTACAACATGGGTGAGGATTCAAACTTACCATCTTAACCAATTGAACTTGTTCAAATTGACTGATAAATTAAAGTGCCGTAAAAAATTAAAATACAGGCATGGTTACCAAAAGTACGAATGTAACAATTGCTTTTGACTTTTTCAAAGATCACTTAAATGTATTTCAAATGGTAGGATTCTAGTGAAAATTATGTTTAATAGCTTAATTTCTTAATAGAATATCTTGTTGATCACTAGTATACCTTTTAAAAGAAAAATAGAACACTTTTTAAATTATGAGTGATGACACGGTATCCGTTAAATATTGTTAAATATTGTTCTTATATGTCATTGAAAAATTGACAAATTATTATAATATTTAGAAAGAAAAAATAGAAACACTAATTCCAATGTTCCAACATCAAAGAAGAAAAAAAACATGCAATATTACACAGAAAAATTTGTCAGAGTGGTTTATTTTTAGTTATTAGGTGTTGATTCACTTATATTTGTTAAATGTAAGTTAAACACTGTAATACAAATAAAACAATGTAAAGAAAATGAGAAAACTAATTATTTTGGAAATTTTAACCCAAATATTGAAAATTATGGTACTCACTATATTGAGTTCAGATAAAAAAAAAGTTACTAAAATAAAAATTCATACTAAAAAGAAAATATTTTATTAAAAATTAGAAAGAAGGAGGAGTGAAGAGACGGACCTGAAATCGCTGGCCGTTCTTGAGCTCAACGGGAGCCTGAAACTGGCGGTCCAAAGTACTGGCTCCAACGGTCAAAATCCAAGGCGCAGTATTCGATGCCGTGAACGCGTCGGGGCCGGAGTTGCCGGCGGAGCAGACGACGGGGATTCCTTTTTTCACGGCGTGAAAGGCGGCGATGGCGATGCTATCGTCAAAGTAATTGGCCGGAGAGCCGCCGACGGAGAGCGAAATGACCTCAACGCCGTCGTGGATGGCGTGGTCGAAGCCCTCGGTGATGTCAGCGTCGAAGCAGCCACCGTCTTGGAACGGCCAGCAGATCTTGTAGGCGGCCACGCGGGCCTTGGGGGAGCCTCCTTTGGCGGTTCCGAGGCCAGATCCGAACACGCTGGCGTCGGGGACGAAGCTGCCGCCGGCCGTCGACAGCGTGTGGGATCCGTGGCCTTCGTAGTCGCGCGTGGAGTTCTTTATGGATGAGAGATCCGCCGAAGAATTTAGGGCTTTCAAGTACGCGATGAATCCCTTGTTGAAGTATTTCGCTCCGATTAGTTTCCTGAATATTAAAATATCACCGTTTAATTAAACTTCGTTTATTTTAAAACAATTACTTAATATTTCTAACATTGAAATTTATGGAAAATTTTGTTAAATTAATTAGAGTTTAGGGGTGTCTTGATTTAAACCCAACTTCCTCAATGCTAGTCATTTAAATTTAGGGTTTAGGAAGTTTGGAAGTTAATTAAGTTTAAATCTAGGGTTGAAGATATCTAAATTAAAAAAAACACACACATAATGACTAATGATTATCTAAATAGTAATTTTTTTTTAGGGAAATATATACTCATTAGTTTTGGTTAAATAATAAAATTGATATAGTTGAGACTCAATCAAAATATAATTTCTTGCACTATAGAGTCGACCTAACTTAGTGATATCCATTCCTATCTTTTGAAAGCAACTTGATTTAAAATATCTCCTCCCGGACGATGGAACTAGCAACTATTTAAACTATGCTACATGGGAAAAACACAAACCTAACCCCACAAATTGGAAAAAACACAAACCTATTGCAAGGCACTCGATCGGGGGAGTCATCGGTGCAACCTCCTTTCCACTTTGTCGGGACCGATCCAACTATGCCATTTTCTCCGAAGCTCTTCGACTCGGGCCATACACCTATTTAGATTAACAAAATTTACATCATTTAAAGAAAATCTAAGAGTAATTCTGAAATATACCAAAACAAAATCGTTATCAAACAGAGACCAGTGTCGAGATTGGCGATAATGGTGTCTTGTCCAAAGTTAGCCCTCCACCAAGGAGAAGTAGGGGGAACTACGCCATTCATCTTCTCCAAACGCATGAAATTCCATGAGTGCGTTGTGTGTAATTTCTTTCCTTTGTTTGCCAAAACTGCTGCAACTTCTGGGTGCTCTGTGTGCCAATTTTTTAAAATAGAATTTTGAAAAACGATTAGAAAACATTAATAATAATTAATTTTCATTACTAAAATTCAATTTTAATTTACTTGCAAGCTCAGCTGCCTCTTCCTCCTCCAGAATTGCTGCAAACCCATTTATATTCTTCTTGTAGGAGTAAAATATGGCATCTTTTGCCTTCTCAGAACTGAAAATTTTCAAATTATGAAAAAAAAAAATCCATATTTAATATTTTAAAAAAGATTAAACAAAAATAAATTTATAAAGTAAATTTCAAACCTGCCCAAGAAGGATCCAAGCAATTTGTGATGGGAATCGACCACCCTTTGGAGATCAGCTTCTGAAACTTCTAAGCCGTGTGAATGCGATCCCA